TATTTACAGTTACCAATGGGTGCAACAGAAAAAATCCTTATGAAAAATGACGCCCTGAAAGGCAAAATGGGAAAGGACGTTGCAAGGAGGGAAGTATAACTGAAAACATAGAAAGGAAAAATTGACATATAAAGCCATGGAGTGAGTTCCAAGCAATAGGGTTCCAAACTCCACCACTAATCTGTCCTATATCAAAAATTTGTCTCTGAAAGATCTAAATCCAAGATTTTTACCAGGATTTTACATTTTTACTATAAATCCAGTCTCCCCCAATTCACATCTCACCTGTCACAAACTGAGGGGTCTTAAAGCTAGCTAACTGCTCACTGCCTCAGGCCACCACCTTTAACATGCCTTTGAAGTGGGGGTTCGATTGGGTAAGCAATTTATGGCTCTGCAGGTGATGTTGGACTACAACTCACATCATCCTTCACTACAGGATATGCTGGCTAGGGCTTGGGGAATCACTGCCCAAGAACACCTACAAGGCCACCTTATCCACTAATTTCAAAGAACACAGATCCAAACCGTCCTGTAGGCTGACCCTTTGCCCAATTTCAGAACTATAGAGATGAGTAAGCATCATGATGTGCAAAATAAAGTCACAGAAATTTCAAGTGAAAGAGAAAGGCTACGATTCAGGCCTGCTTTTCTAGAACCCACTTGTGAATATTTCCCTCTCTAGCATCCTTCCAGGACCTCCTGCTGCATGCAGGGCAATGGCATGGTCTCTCCCATAGAAAGTGAAGGGGTATACTCAAGAACAACCCTGGACAGAGACTGAATACCTATCTTGTCCATAGTGACTCACCTTCTTCGCAGCCATTGCTGACCCATACATGTAGCTCTTCTGCATAGACTCATCTTGGGTTGTGAGATTCACACAGATCGTTGACAACTATTTAATTACATATCTAAGGCTGGTGGGGTTGTGAGATTCACACAGATCGTTGACTATTTAATTGCCTATCTAGGGCTGGTGCAGAGAACAAGATGTTGTTGGACTACCTCTCTCAGCATTCTTTACCAGTGGCTGTGCTGGCTAGGACTGAGGTGAGGTGCAGTGCAAAACATCTGGAGGTTTTGTTTTGCCCATCCCTGATCAAGGTCAGCAACCTCATGCCAAAGACTTAGAACAAGAGGTATATGAGCCTTTTCTTTTAAAAAAAAAAATCCCTAAGCCACATGCTACCAGAGATCCTGTAAAAGGTATATGCTTCCAGCAGTGGTTTTGTTGTGGTTATTTTGCAGCCAAGCATGTGGCTGAAAGATCTTCAGTAACAAAACAGAAGACCACCTTAGTACCACAGTCCAGAGGAAAAAGGGCTATGCCTCCAACGGAAGAAATCGTGCCTGTTGCTTCCATGCTCCCAATCCCATTTCTCCAAATTGCAATGATTATATCTTACCTTAAATTTGAAGGCTTAAAGGCTTGAAAGAGTGCAGTGCTAGTTTCATGCAAAATAGTACTGTACTATGAACTCTTTCTCCAAGCAGATGAGATTGTCTGCATTATGTTCCCCCCTCCCCCTGAAAACATTCAGGAGGAGGAGTTGGTTATAATCAAACACACCTTGGGTAAATTATCTTCTGGCAAGGACATTTCAAATGTCTTGTTAGCTGACGTAGATATATAAAAACCAGCAAAGTAGATGGCATATGGCTTCCTGAAGAGCAGGTACACACGCACACTCTGCCACCATGAGGCATCATTCACCGTACATCCTTCAGCAAATAAAATGCTCTTGCTGATTCTCACGGTCAATGCAACTGGAAAGTGACTTTTAATGGGGGGGTGCTCTTTCTTTCTTCTTTCTTTCTTTCTTTTCTTTCTTTTTCAATCTTCCAAATTGTTTTTGACGCAGTTATATTTCAATATTATGATTGGTTTGTTTTCATTTTACCATTGTCTTTTTTATCTGCACTTTCAAAAAGTTCATCTTATGCCTCCCCTTAAGTTCTAAGGTGATGGTCAGGATATAAATTCAGTAAATAAAAAAAACAAATGCATCCTTTTCCAGTAAACCTTGGCAAAGTTACTTTTTGGACTCTATACTTCCTGACCAATACGGCTAGTGGCGTAGGCTGTAAAATTTACTTTGCCAGGCTTTGCTCTTGCACTGTATCTTATACTTTTGGGTCGGGATCCAGGCTACAAAATAACTTCTATATTCAAATGAAGGCTTTTATTTGCCTAATAGTAGCCTTCAACAGGATTACCCCTCCAAACGACTGGGGGACCCTCTAAGGTAGCACTTGAAACACAACAAACTACAACACAGGGAGCAGTCTCAAAGCAGTGTGTGTCCCAAAATTCTAGCTCACATGCAAGAATCCTCTTTGAATCCCCCATCATCACTGGCATAGCACCATCAGTGAGTATCAGGTGTGGGGAGGGCAAAAAAAAAAAGGGCTTTCCAAATGCTATTTGACTGGAATTCCCATCATTATTAGCCAGCATAGCCAGTGGTATGAGAGGATGGGAGGCGGAGTTCTGCATGACCTGGAGGAGCATGTATCTCCCAATCTTCCTGATATATATGATGTTTTATAGAGCAGGTGAGCAACTGTGGTTCTCTAATGTTTCAGGTTTATAACTTCCATGATCCCTCAGCACTGGCTCTACCAGAGCTTATAGGGGATGTCGGCTAAAGTTATTCGAAAGGTGAGAGTTCTCCACAAGTACTTTATAGAGTAAATTTAAAAAAATAGAATAAATTAAATGGTCCTGCCCATAAGAGTTCTATTCCAAATTTTTATAGGAAGAAGACAAAAGAAAGGTTAAAAAGTAATAAAAGACAAGCATGAGCAAAGAAAGCCACATGGAGTTAGGCTCTGTTTCACTTGGGGATTCGTGCTAAATTTAACCCACAAAATAATCCTCAAAACGCTTGCAAATGATGTCAGACAAAGTATAATTGAAATGACCTTTTCAAAATCATATCTTAGTCCACACAGCTGCTTCAAAAAAAAAGTCAAATAAATCATTTCACTGCCCCAAATGACTACTGCACTAAAGGAAACTGATACAAGACTGATAACTGTGGGTTTGCCATTCCAAACAGAAGCAATGCTGATGCCAATAGACGGTGGACCAATAATAGAAGTTAAAGTAGGCAAATCAAGCAGTACAAGAAGGAAGATCACCCATAAAATCAATAGAGAATGGGAGCCGGGTTTGAGTGCATTTTTCAAGCCTACAGATGATTATATGATTAAGTCCATTCTTGCATCATCATGAAAATTCACAAACTAGTATTCGAATATGTGTGCACAATTGTTTGTTACTTTTCTTTCACCAAGTAATTATCTGATAGAAAGCAAATCGAGAGAATGTCAAATACAGCATTTAACACAGATGCTCATGCTGGAATACAGGGGCTTCCATTTTAGAGACCACCCCAAAATTAAATTTAAATTGCACTGGTATGATGTTTAAGCAGTGCTAGAGTCACCTCTTCATTTTAGTCCGCTTCTGAACCACTGTCTTAAGTTGCTATGCATATAGAGCTTCTTTGAGTAAACAGTGGGAATACTTTATGAAAAAAAGATGGAAGGGTGGGTCAGAATGAGATTTTGAATAGCTTGGGATATATGCAAACAGGACACAAATTTTCTATTTTAATTTACATGAAAGATCACAGGTAAACTGCATTCATGGATAACAATAAGCCAGAATCCTGGAGAATCCTATCTTACCTTTCATATGTTCCTCAGGAATCCAAGCATCCCTGCTTCACTTATCACACCACTGGGCACAGCTAAAATAACCTGACATTAATCAGGATGCAAAATCCTAGTTTCATGCTGGCTTCAAATTCTGGATTGTTAGGGAAGTGACAAACCATGAGCTACTGCTCAGACATAATGCTAAGTTTCTGTTAGTTTCTGGTTACTCTAGATCTAGAAATCATTGGCAGGAGCAACTAAATAGGAGAAATTAAACAGCACGAACAATAACAGCAGGATTATCTGGAATTCTGTTTATTATTACCTATGAATACTGACCAGATATTTACTGTTTTCCGTTGGCATGTGTCATCTTGTGTATTTATCTGTAATTGTTGTTTTTAGCAAGAAGTTAAATCTCATTTCAAACTACACCTGGTTAACCTGAGCTATGCAAAAACAAACAAACAAACACACACAACTTGCTCCTGTTAAAGCATGATTGAACACTTAAGCAAGAAATCAACAGCTGTCAGGAAGAAAGATGCATTTCTAAGTCCCATTTTAAAATAATGGTTAATGAGGTAACCAATGTTCCATGAGATATGCATATGCCTGGCTATGTCACTGAATGTACAGTATGTGCAAGTTGGAAAATGGGCATAATGGAGCCAAAATTTGTTTTCACTGGGGGAGTTAAGCATGTGTTCTTGTCAAACTCTGCGAACATCCTATTTCTTTCTTTCTTTCTTATGAATCTTTTCCCTTAAGAATTCTGGGTCCCCTCCCTTAAGAATGTGTGTAACATGTTTATGTCACAAAAGTTTTGCAAAACAAACAATTAAGTTAATGTTCAGATTAAAAGAGTTTACTCAGAAAATAGTCTCTCACATTCCTGTCTTGTGCATCAAATGGAAATAGGAAAAGTCAGTCTTCACTATTTGGCAATTGCCACCACACAGAATTGTTAAAAAACAATCTGCAGAAGTTGACACCCTTTTAAAAAAAGGAAAATGACACTTTGTTCCACTGCAAAGTGAAACCAAACAATTTATTTGTGCTAAATGAATGGAAAGAATGTATTTCAGAATACATTTCTTTATACATTGTACCGGCTTATGCTGCTAAATACGCATTTGCTATTGTCATCTAACTTTCTCTGTAATCTGTTCCTTTTCTACCAAGCAATACAACATTTTTGGCTGTTATATCATTATGTTGCTATAATGTGCACTTTCAATCATATTGTCTTCTGATTTTTCTTTGAATGTTTAAAATATTGGTTCAAACATTTGGGAGGGGGATGTCACACAATATATTTTAAACAAGGAGGGGGGGAATCAGCCATTTTGTTTTTAATACAAATTGCTTTTCTACAGCAGAAATCTGGAGAACACAATTGAATTGGCCACAAGGATCTTGTTGGCAGAACCACACTTACAGAAGATCATTGTGATGAAAACAACAGTACGGACAGTTTTACAGGTCAACATGAATAAGAAATAAAACAATCAACTCTTAAGGTCCATGGATCAATACATTCTATATACTTTGACAAGTCAGGCTTCCCACATTGTACTTCAGACTGTACCACACACTGGATAAAAGGTATGTATCTGTCATGTATATTTGACTGCTGTAAGTGAAACGTAAGGAATACATTTAAAAAACATGAGCCTGGGCATGAAGATGTCTGACTTTCACTTCTGCACTAAAAGCTGTATCTTTTTTGTTTATTGAAATGTAGTGCTGATTTACTGTATATGCTTGAAACACACCAGTAATATCTAGGAGTTCGTAATATACAGACCATACCTGTAATTTTATTTGCAAATTGTCATGAAAAAAAATATAAAAAGATGTCCCTTTTATTTTACAAACCTAAAAGCTGGGGCGCGGGGGTAGAGAGAGGAGGGGGATAAGATAAAGCTTTGGGACCTCAGCTAAACATAATGCTGTAATACCCAACAAAATAGCAATGTTCCAGCCAGAGGACAGATGTACTAAATTCAAATAAAACACTGATGGAAATTTGTATTTGAAATTAGTGTTGTAGATCCAGATCGTCGGCTGCATTTTGCAACAACTTCAAATACCGCACACTTCTTACAAAGGAAGCACTTCCATGTCAACAGAAAAGAAGCCACAGAAACCACCATGTACGTAACGTATGTGATTATCTCCTATATGGATGTGCTTTCCATGTAGGAAATGTCCTAGCATTGTAGGCGGCCCTTGGACAAACTGGTACAACACAATAAAAACAGTGAAGCCTCAGTAACTTCAGTGCAAATAAGTCAAATCCAAATATACCATTGTTAAGCCTTTGGCTTGAAGTAAACTGCTCTGTGTTATGAGTCCAACTCTGAATACAGATTTGCTGAGCACATGCACTAAGGCTGAGAGGAAGGATGCACTGAATGCTGGAAAGTGGCCGACTGGGAGGTCGCCGACTGGACCGGAGGCTGCACTGGTGGTGGGGGCGGGGGTGGTGGGGCAGCAGGCTGCAGCGGGGTCTGTGTGTTGGGAGAAGGAGGAGGAGTGGGCCGTTTGAATTTGTCAGGGCTGTTGCTTCTTCGCGGTGAAGGCCTCTGCAGAACAAAACAGGGAAGCCCAAGTTTAACTCAACATGCACAAAAGATGAAGAAGACATTTTCTCCCTGCGACAACTGTTAACATTTTTTTTGTTTATTCGTTACATTTTTATTCCAACATTCCTTTAATGGGCCCAGGGCTCTGTTCTTTCTTTCTACCTTTCACCTCACAACAACCTTGTGGGCTACGTTAGGCTGAAAAAGAACAACTGGCCCAAGGTCACACTGTGAGCTTCATGGCCAAGTACGGATTTGAACCCAGGTCTCCTGAGCCCTAATCCAACATTCCAACCACACAGTAGAATGCTAGAGAAATGATTTCAAACCATGGCATGGTAGCCCTGTTTTTAAAGTGTTAAACTACAGTTTCCTTGATTTGGGAAAAGGAAAGAAACAATCTGAAAGTGAAGGACAAGAAAATAGCTGACCAAGTGCCACTACGTGCTAAGCCTGTTGCTGGGCAACTGGCAGCTGTATTAGGCCACTCACTATCATTGCTGTGATGGTGAGCACGTGAATCCTGAGAGCCAAAGCTATTCCTCCTCCATGAAAAACATCATCATCAGGCCACAGGTACAAGTATTTCTCTAAGCAGTTGGAGCAACATGCTAACATGTTCAAACTGTATACAAAATGGAAGCTGAGGATCACAGCAGATCTAAATCTTGTGCTCTTGCTTCCATCTATTTCTCCCTGCCATTTGGGGATTTAGCTTAGTCTGCATTAGAGGACTTCATGTTCTGTCCATGCATTATTTACAACAAATGTAGGTGATCACATCACATGTAGTGTGTGCTGTTTTTTAAAGTCTGCCCTGCAAACCACTGTACTCCGGACTGGTTCATGTGATTCAAACTAACATTTTTTTGCCATCTGGCTTCTATCTGTAGGGCCTACACGTATCAAGTGCATAAGCTCTTCATATATCTGTTAGGTCACATGTACTAATGGTAAGCAGGTGGGGTGTTCCAATTCTGACTCTCCAGTGTACTCAGCATTCAAATGCCCACACAGGGCCTTATCAGAAATCACACTTTGCTTCAAAAAGGCACCTCAACAACAATGATACTCTGCTAGCCTTCAGAATTATTCAGAGGTAACATTCTAAAGGCCTAGAGCCTAAATTGCTCCTCTTTTCATATTGGAAGGAGTGGATAGCCTTCTAAATCCTCTAATATAATATCTTCCATAAATCTCAAGAGCTCCAACCCTAAGGAGCCGATGCGACCCAAGGGGCTGAGCTCCAATCTGTTCAAGCTAGGATTCAATCCAAAATGCATTAACAAGTGAGGCAATAGGAAGCAAATATGTGAGGTGTGGAAGAGGTACTTCTTGAGCAAAGGAAAGGTACCCAACTTCATTGCCAAATACATACTACACGCAAAATGAGACCAAAGCGAGTGTGCAGCATTAAACTGCCTTTCAAAAATCTACTTACCTGTAAGCAATTCAAGCCACAAACCCACTACAGCTTAACCTCCCATCCAGTGGCAGTGGGAGCATGCAGCAGTGCTCTGAAACCTACTCAGAGCTACAGACTTCTGCATACAAGCCAGTTTACTACAATGAGTACACAGGCACAGGAATATATCCTTTGAATCAAAAATCCTATGCACTTCCAATTTCCATTAGTTCTTCCTGCTTGATAGATTCTAACTGCACTCGACACCTTGAGAAACCACGGGAGGTCCAACAACAATTTTCTCTATTCCTGTCTTGTGTGGTTTAATCACATATCTTGCCTATTATGAGAAATTTCTAGAGATACATATAACCAGGTGAGGGGCAACATGTCCCCCCCACCCAGCTCCTCCATTCCATGGATCTTTATCCCCTATGCCTATCTCTGAGTAATCAGTAATACAGATTCAGCTGGAGGAGTTGTTAGTGACTTCTGTGGCATGTTAACCGCTAACACTTTTTATCTGACATAAGTCTTCGTGGACTGTACTCAAATACAAGGAAAACCTAGTCATTTGGGCTGCTGCAGGAAGGCTCAGTCAGTTCTTCCTTTAGGCACATCTACTGTTCACTCCTACACACCAATTCAGTCACAAACAAAAGAGAAATAAGCAGATGAGACAGATGATGAGAAGTCTTGTGCAAGTTCAGTTCTAAGTAGGGCACAACAGTTACCATATATATTAAATAGCATCTGTCACATGTTATTTACCCCACAGCTTGCATTCATGGAAGAATTACTCTCATTAATAGCTCAAAAGTCTTTCACCTACAATTTGTTTGGAATCCTATCAACTGGAACCATTGTTCTTGCTGGCTCCTCTTAAGAATGAGTTTCTGAGCAGGAAAGACCAGTATATGAGGGAATGTACTGCGCTCCAGATACTGCTGGGATGGCAACTCTTATTAGGCCTAATCAGCAGAGTCTATGAGAGTCTAAAGGATGATGGGAGTTGCACTCCAACAGCCTTCAAAGAATCACACATCCTTCAGAGCAGCACCTATCCGAGTCTGGTTTTTGTGAGAGAGTTTTCAACCACATCACTATTGTAGACCAGATAGCCAAATCTCTTCAACTTATCTTTAATTCCCATTTGCACCACTGCCTTCATGCCATAGTCTGTGATCACTAGTTTTACAATGTTCTTGTCAGGCCCTCTGGTGTTACATGCGCAAAGACACCTGGAAGCTGCATGCTCCATTTTTTTAAAAATTCTCAAGGAAAGGCATTAGCAAGGTGCATACTCACAGAAACAGTTCTAAGAGAACACAGGAGCCAAGCCTGGGACACCAACAATGCCTAAGAGAGGCCATGGATAGAACGGCCCCACTCTCAGATCTGAGAAACATAATCTATCATGGCCACTCGATAGTAAACTGGTTGTAAGGGGAGGGGGAAATATTTTTAATCTTCTTTATCCTGCAATAACAATTTAATAATTCTTCTACTGTGAAAAGAGAACTGCAGAATGGATTTTAGTTTAGTTTGAAGAAACTCCAACGGGACAAATATAAATGCAAGCATAGACTGTTTTAGAAATGCTGTTTAGGAGTCTTGGATGTGCATTCATGAAATACTTACTGTAATACCATGGGATGGTCCCATATGCTGCACATGAAGGCCTGGGGAGTTATAATAAGACACGCCGGCTCTGGTGAGTGAAGTTGGGGGAGTAAAACCAACTGTGTGGCTTGCATACGAGAGACCTAGAACAATGAAAGGAAAACAGGGCAAGTTTACAAATATTAGTGAGCCCAAACACCCAAAATATCCAATGCATCTGGGGAAAAGAAAGCCGTATGCCTCATCTTTTGCATCAGGAAAATTGGACTTGCACCTTCATTTATATGACAACAAGGCTTATTGTAGATACTAAGAGAGGCGACACAAATTAGTTAATCTTTTTTCAATCTTTGCTTTACATTCTTTCAAAAGTGTAGTCACTGCAAAAACCTTCAAAAATTGTATGGGTGGGTGAGTGGATGACAATATGGCCCTGTACCAGCTGGACATTTAGTACTGGGTTTGTCAGGAGGCTCCCCGAGGCAAACCCCTCCCATCACCAAATCTTCATGATGACTGCTAGGAGTAATAATCGCCAAACAAGACAAAAATCAGTCACAAAATGGAAGAGAAAAGCAGAAGAGCAAAGTTCTTCCTAAACTAGGAAAGGAGTTCAAGATGATTAAAAATAAATAAATAAAATACAACACAATAATTAGTATGTACACCGATAAAGGTCTTTTCACCATTAAAAGACTTTCAATCCCATTTACTGGCTAGTTACATACAGATGCTAAATAAAGACACTTCCTAAATAGTGACAAAAATGCTTATGTGCATTTCAAGCCTTCATTTGCTATTTTCGTAGAAAGAAGAATTAATGTACAAATGAGGCATACAAATTTTGTTGTATATCTATTATTCATTAATCTTACATCCTAACTAGCAGCCAAAAATGGCGTTCCAGATTATTAATATTAAAATACATTTTAAAAATCTTAATACAGAACCCTAAAATACAGAAATAAATAAATTGAAAACACAGTATATTATTATGTATTAAATCTGTACTATTACCACTGTATTTATTATGACATTTATATTAAATACTACCATGATGCAGACTGAAAACCTGAAAGTGGGGAATAAATGCATATATATTTACCAGGTGATATAGGCCTGCTAGAACTTGGTGAAGGTGTATATGGAATAGGACTGGACACAGTGCGAGGTCTTAATCCTTGTGCAGACATCTCATTAAAATATCTAATTTAAGAGAGAAAAACAAATTAGTTTTATCTGCCCAAAGGTATTTCTTAACTTTTATTTTATTTTACTTTAAGGCTCTCCTCTGCCACCTGTCCTTTACCGTATTTTATATGTAACGTAAGAATCTAGAGGGGCACCAGCACATACTGGCTTTAGTATTTAGTTGATTAAACTAAATACTAAAGCCAGTACAAAACTACAAAAGTACTCAGAAATGCCCTCTGGCTCATCTGAAAACATAATAATTAATCAAATCATCTCATATATACTCATACTGTTATTTGTATCCATAAGCCCCATCTCAAAATGGCATTCCCACCTGCTGCCCTTCTTTCACAATTCCTCTACTGATGGTGCCTACTGAAGGGGGCCCTTGCACTGGAACACAGGCCCTATCCTCAGTCTGACACTTGACCTACCCAGCCTAGTGTTGTTAACTATGACTTGGCACTGGCTCTCCAGGATGTCACACACAAATTTTCTGGCTTGATTTGAACATAAGGAGCTTAGATCTGCGACCTTCGGATGCAAAACATGCTTTCTGCCTTTGAGCCATAAACTTCCCCAACAATGTCTTTTACTTTAAAAAATCAGAAACTGCCATGCCTGTTTGTTTTTCTTCAAAGGGATTGTTCTACAGCAAATGTTCGATGATTTAATTAATTATTTTCTCCATTCAAATTCACATACCAACAAAGGTTTATTAAATTTATGAGAGCCATTCAGGTGAGAGGGTTACTGAAACTTCAAAAACATAGACTCAAAATTAAACTTGAATCCTCTGACCAGGAGGTACGTCTCACTGCACAGTAAGTTATTACTCAACAGTAACATTAAAGAGTGTGGCAGTCTTTGAAATCATGTTGTGCTTCAGTGTGAATGCCTTCATTGCTGCTTTTGCAAAAACATAGTAAGACAAGGAAAAGGTTATTCCTGCATGTAATAAGGACGCCATACAGTCAAGAAAGCCAGCAAATCTGATCTATGCCAAGGCCTCTGCCCCCAGTGTGCCAAAAAATTTATCTTGCGTCCTGGTATCCTTAGGTTATGTGTCTCCCCTCCCTTGGCTCCACATTGGCAGCTGATATTCCACAAAAATGGTAAATGCAATCATATGGGACATGAAGTAAGGAGTATGAAGGAGTATGAAGAGGGAAAAATGACTTGGGGCTGTTTTCTGCCTGGCAGACCTAGATTTCTACCCAAGATTGAGAAGGCTGGTTTTCAGACCAAAGCACCCAAATTTACAGCAACACAAACCTCTCATCGTCCATTTCCAAACTTGATTCACTTTCTGACAGCTGCCTGCACAATGCTTCTCTTCTTTCCATCTCTCTCTGCAGTTTTCTTTGGAGCCTTAAATTCTCTTCCCTCATGTGACGTTCTTCCTCTAAATACTGTGCCATCTTTTCTGAATCTAAAACAGTAAGATTTTAAATAAGATTTTTACTATTAAACTTTATTTTGTAGATACCGCTAATACAGATCAATAAAGTAGAATTCAGAACTTTCCCACGTGACAAGAATAAAGATCACTAGACAAGTAGCTACTTAAACCTTGATCTGATTTAACTAACTGTGGTTAAAATCAACCAGAGCTCTCTAGGCTTGTTTTTAGGAGATGAAGAAAAAGCAAAATCTTTCTCTGTCCTCTTGAGCATGGGAAAGGGAAGGTAGGGTGCAGGATCTAGGCAAGCTCATCTGTACTAACAAGGAATCACACGGTCATCTGAGCGCTTCAAGTACTTTTTTGAGAGTGAGTCAACAGGTCTTTACATTCTGAAAGAATATTTCCTTCTAGTAGATTCTGCGGTAGGACATAGCTTCCAGGCCCTGATGACTACCTCTCCTCAGAACAGTTGAGGCAAACAGTTTATTAGCTCAGAGAAGAACAAACAAATCTAGCAACAAACACAACCAATGGGGAACTGAAATTATATCAAATGCCGGTCCATAGGACCAAACTAATCCATTCAGATATTAGAGGTGTCACTGGACTGTTCCACTGTTACCTTCTGAGGAATTCAAACGTCATACTACAAAAGCTATGATAATACTACAACAAGAATTCAACTGCAAGCCTTGATTCTGGAGAAAGACCCTCCACTCTCTAGACCAGTGGTTCCCTATCTTAGGTCCCCAGATGTTCTTGGATTAAAGCTCCCAGAAGCCTTCGTCACTAGCTGTGCTGGCTAGGCTTTCTTGAAGTTGTAGTTAGGAAGCACTGTTCTAGATAATAGTAACTGGCTATGATGACAGAAACAAACATATAGACCAAGAACTGATTGTACATCTTGTGGGCTCCTCGGAGACACTGCTTAGTCAGAGTGGACTAAGGTGTTAGGAGAGTCCTGGCAGGAAGATTTCCCTAAGCCATCAGTGCATTTGGCCCTCCTGGACTGTATCTACACCAAGACAATCAGAGTAGTGTGGCTAAGTGGTTAGCATGGGCCTCTTTGTCCTGGAGTAACTTTGACAGTCATTATCCCAACTACTTTGGAACTACAGTACCTTAGTTTCAAAACTTCCAGCAATGCTATATTCCATATCATATGACAGAATATCACATAATTAATTATCCCAATGCATTGGGTCATTCAGGGACAAGAACAGAGCATTCAAAAGAAGCAGCAGAGGAAAATGAAGTTCTATTATTCTGCTAATGAATCAGACAAGAATTTGCACATATCCTCACTTCTGAGAACAGCAAGAGCAAAAGCAATGCACTGAAGAGACTGGCAAGTTTATAGCGATTGATGTATCCTATCATCCTTATACGTCATATATTATTAATTTACCAAACTAGCATAAAAGGTCTGTGTAAAACAGGCTTTCTCTCTCTCTCTCTCTTTAAAACACAATTCTCTTCTGCAAACATTATATCACAGACAGCTAAATCAACTGCTCTGATTCAACTTTTTATTCAAACTGAAACGGAAGGAACTGCTTCAGAATAATAAGGGAGGAAACTGAAGGGTCACTGATCCTGCAGGCATTCAAGGGCAGTGAGAGCTTTTTCTCACTCCACCCAAAGATAATAAGGAACTAACTTGAACAATTGCTGCATTTACCATCTGGTCTGTACACACACTCTCTGCTTCCCTCATTTCTAATGCCTTTGCATGTGCCTTTCTCCCTTCCCTCTTGGCAAGTATACCTCTCTACTGCAAAAATGCATGCGGGCTGCATGGACAGGGGATATCGTGCACTGAGGTATTACGTACCAGTTTCCACTGCTATGGCAACCAATTAGCATCCAGTCTTGTTTGAGAAAGACATGATTTTCAAAGTAAGAAATTTGATCTGAACCAATTCTCTGCTCCATACATGTGCTAATTTAAACTTGCCTTGGTTTAAAATCAACCCATCTTGTTGCTGAAAGTTCAGCAGATATTCATCAGATGTCCAATAATATGCAGAATTTTCTCAGTTCATTTCCATATGCAGTGAAAACGATCCATGAAAGGAAGCAGGTAGAAGGCATGTAAACTCAAGACTCACTTCTAATCTTCTAGCACAATCTTCCCCAAACTAGTACACCTTTGATGTATCTGATTATATGCCTCAGCATCCAGAACCGTTCGGTAGTACTTAACATATGGTGGTTGGGGATGACAGAGGCTGTGTTCCAACACTTCTGAAGGGCACTAGAGCTTAAGCAACATTGTAACAGTACACAGCTACCCGGGGGAGTGAAAGAGAACACAGGGAAAAAACTTATGTGAGTACAGTAATATTCTGTCAGACACCTGATAGAATTTGCAGAATTAAAATTCTAGTTAGAAATTTTACATAGTTTAAATTACCTGGAAATGTGAAAAGGCATGAAATTAAAATATTTTTATGCTGTTATATATCTATCAAAGGTGACAGAAGCATGCATGACAGGATTTCTGCAGAGATAAAATGCCAAAGTATATGTGCACACAGAATATAATTTCTTCAGTATTTCTCAGATAAGATAATGTTCTTTAAAATATTGGCCTAAAAAGACATTTAAGGATTCAGTGCTAGTTTGTTTGTTTGTTTGTTTGTTTGTTT